AACTTCTGAATGGGTAAGTGCTGAACCAGTAAGAGGTCTGAATCATTAAGTGCTGAACCAGTAAGAGGTCTGAACCATTAAGAGCTAGTATATTGCTTAACTATTCAGAGGCAAATGTCTGATCAATTCAGATAACAGCTCTTAACCATTCAGACTCTGTATAATACTTAACCATTCAGAGGCAAATCTCTTAACCATTTAGACATCTGAACCATTAAGAGGCTGAAACAAACAGTCTGAACCATTAAGTGCTGAATCATTCAGACATCTGAATCATTAAGAGGCTGAAACAAACATCCCTTAGTGTGTTATTAGAAACCAGTGACACCTCTTGTCAACGGGTTTGTTATGTTTATTTATTTCCGAAAATACTTCGAATTATTCAGATTTTGGTTTAAAGAAAACAAAAAATACGGAATAGCCTATTTTAGAAACGTGCCCTAATACGATTGCCCTTTTCTAGTCGGAATAAGAATTACACAGTACAGTCTTTTTCCTCTAATACGCACCGTCAGATCGAATCGGATACCGTTTCCTAATAATATCTGCGCCGTCCACTGCCGCCTCCATATATCTATCTATCGCCCACCAATCTCTTCTTCTTCTTCTTCAATCTGCGCAGAACGACGGGAGTTTTGCAGAGAACCCACAACGCAAGTACTACCAATCATGGCGGCCACTGTGAACGCGTGGAGCAAGCCTGGAGCCTGGGCCTTAGATTCCGAGGAGAACGAAGCGGAGCTTCAGCAGCAGCAGCAGATTGTCAAAGCCGCCGCCGAAGTGGCTCCCGCCGATTTCCCTTCTCTGGCATCCGCCGTATCCACCAAGACTAAGAAGAAGAAGCCGCAACCCTTATCTATGCAGGAGTTTCACAATTACGCCTCCGCTAAGCAGGTTCAATCCCCGGAGATCATCTCTCTCCCGACCGGCCCCCGCGAGCGGACTGCTGAAGAGCTCGACCGCTCCCGGCTTGGAGGCGGGTTTAGATCTTACGGTTCCTCGTACGATAGGCCGGATC